AAAAAAAAAAAAAAGAAAGGAATAGGAAAAGGCCCCTTTTAGTCTCTTGGACCTGCCTTCACACAAAGCCCTTTTGGTTTTTGCTGTTTCTTTGTTGCGGCCAAGTGGATGCAGTCATAGGTTTGCTTGGCTAAACAGCCCTGCCAACAGGTAGGTTCTCAAGATTTTAGGCTAAAGAAGTATTTTACTACAACAGACTGCATCCTCAAACAGTTTGTCTCCTCCAAGTAATTGGATATTTATTTCTTTGATGTCATGACTTAAGTCATTACAGAATTATTTGTATACATGTATACGTATAGTGTGTGTGTTCACCATTACAAGACATTATTTGTTCTTTTTAAAAATTAACTACCTCATTCTCATTGACATGTTCCATTTCAAGATCTTCCTTCTAGAATAATTTTTAAGCTCTAATTTTCTATAGGGGAAAAATTACATAAAACATTTTCAAGTTACAATATGGTTTTCATAGAACATGCTAAGAGAGAAAATGTGTAAATAATACATGGTTTTTGACTTGCTGAGTACAGTGTGCTACAGAAATGTTTGTATCATGAATAACTTTGACGGGGGTCTTTTTTTCACAGAGTTTAGGAGTTGACACTCTCCCTCCTCCTGACCCTAACCCACCCAGAGCTGAATTTAACTACAGTGTGGGGTTTAAAGATTTAAATGGTAAGCATAACCATTTCTTTTCTTAAGCAATTCAAAATCATGATGATGATTCAAATCAGTATGAAACTATAATTTGAAAACTAAATTAAAGGAACCTAAACATCATGATAAATATCATTGTTAAAATCATGGATTTCAGACTGGGTTTTACTGTGTCTTGATTGAATTGAGAGAATCAAGAAGATATTTTTGCCAATAACGAAAGGGAACACCATTCTGCATTTGTGAAAAGTCTCAAAATGATCTTGCACTTTAAAGTAAGGGGAGTTTCTTCTTATTACTAAGCCCATAGAGTAACAAGGAGTAGTATATGAAAATATTAATAAGGAAATGACCCTTCAGTGATAGAAATCAACTATTTCATAATGATTAATAAATATGAATGGATACTTCATATTTTATTTAAAATATTTTTAAATTTATATGTAATATATACTTATATGTAATTTAGTCTACTTGACATTTTTTCATTTTTCCTGAACTTGTCACTTTATTTTATTACCAAAAATCTCTCAGCCATGCATGGTGGCTCACGCCTGTGATCCCAACACTTTAGGAGGCCAAGGCGGGAGGACTGCTTGAGCTCAGGAGTTTGAAACCAGCCTGGACAGCATGGCAACACCCCATCTCTACGAAAAATTAAAAAAAAAAATAGCCAAGTATGGTGGCATGTGCCTGTGGTCTCAGCTGCTTGGGAGGCTGAGGCAGGAAGATCAAGGCTGCAGTGAGCTGTGCTTCTGCCACTGCACTCCACCCTGGGCAACAGAATGAGGTTCTACCTCAAGAAAATAAAAAACAAAACAAAACAAAAACTCTCAGTTTATTTAAGTGGAGACATCTTTAGGCCACATGCTATTCATATTATAATAAGTCTTGAGGCCGGGTACAGTGGCTTAAGCCTGTGATCCCAACACTTTGGGAGGCCAAGGCAGGCAGATCACGAGGTCAGGAGATCGAGACCATCCTGGCTAACACGGTGAAATCCCGTCTCTACAAAAAATACAAAAAATTAGCCGAGTGTGGTGGCAGGCGCCTGTAGTCCCAGCTGCTCGGGAGGCTGAGGCAAGAGAATGGCGTGAACCCAGGAGGTGGAGCTTGCAGTGAGCCAAGATCACACCACTGCACTCCAGCCTGGGTGACAGAGTGAGACTCCATCTCAAAAAAAATAATAATAATAAGCCTTGAAGTACTCACTTTCAAGTTATTGAAAACTCCCTGCAACTCTGGAAGAAGATTTCCCAAAGACTTGCAGTGCCTACCAAAAATGTGAAAAGCAAGATAGGAGAGAAGTTCAATTATAGAAATCCAGAATTCCAAGTTTTATTTCTGTGCTTCTCTGAATTTTTTTTTTTTTTTTTTGAGGAGTCTCTCTCTGTCACCCAGGCTGGAGTGCGGTGACGGGATCTCCACTCACTGCAACCTCTGCCCTCTGCGTTCAAGCGATTCTCTTGCCTCAGCCTCCCAAGTAGCTGGGACTACAGGCAAGAGCCACCACGCCTGGCTAGTTTTAGTAGAGACGGGGTTTTGCCTTGTTGGCTAGGCTGGTCTCGAGCTCCAGATCTCAGGTAATCCACCTGTTTCAGCCTTCTAAAGTGCTGGAATTACAGGTATGAGGCATGGCGTCCAACCAGGATTTATCTGTTTCTATCATTTCCAATAATTTTGTAATAAACCATTAGGTTCCAGTGACTGTTTCTTGATAAATTATAATATACCTCTTTTGATTTTCTCTTTTTCCTACACTCTTTTTATTTGCCACACAAATTTATTATTCCTGCCAGTCATTTCCACCAAGATGGTAACATTCATGAAGTTTTTTACAAAAGCAGGCCAGGCATGGTGGCTCACGCCTATAATCCCAGCACTTTGGGAGGCCAATGCTGGTGGATCACTTGAGGTCAGGAGTTCAAGACCAGCCTGGCCAACATGATGAAACCCCATCTCTACTAAAAGTACAAAAATTAGCCAGGCATGGTGGCAGGCACCTGTAATCTCAGCTACTTGGGAGGCTGAGGGACCAAAATCACTGGAACCCAGAAGGTGGAGGTTGCAGTGAGCCAAGATTGCACCACTGCGCTCTAGTCTGGATGACAGAGCAAGACTCTGTCTAAAAGAAAAAGCAAAAAAAAAAAAAAAGCAATACATTTTTATAAAATTATGATTGCAATAGATAACATACACTTGCACATATGAACAATGCAAATTTAGCCTTTTAGCCTCACTACATCATAACAGCTGCATACTTTATAATCAGTTCAATTAAACTTAAAATTTAATCAATATTTCAATTTAATTGTAGTCATCTCAACTGACGCTTTCTAAGCACTAACTCAGTGCCTGGTATCACAACACTGACAATGATAGGAGCAATGATACCCAGATACCCAGCAAGATATAAACACAGTGATGTTACACTACAGTAATAAGACACTCTTCTCATTAAGGAAACAAGATGTACACATGTGGTCTAATTTGGATACGGGACAAGACAATTAAAAACTACTGCTATGCATGGAAAATTAAATTTGTATGGAATTAGATTAAGAATAGATTTGTTTTATCTTCACTTTAAAACACTGCTAAAATGAGTTCAAAATATTTTGCCCAGGCTGGGTGCGAGCCTGTAATCATGCTTGTAATTCCATCACTTTGGGAGGCCAAGACAGGAGGATCACTTAATCCCAGGAGTTTGAGACAAGTCTGGACAACATAGTGAGACCACTGTCTCTAAAAAAATTTAAAAATTAGCCAGGCATGCTCGTATGTGCCTGTAGTCCCAGCTACTTGGGAGGCTGAGGTGGGAGGATTGCTTGAACCCATGAGGTCGAGGCTACAGTGAGCTATGATCCTACCACTGCACTGCAGCCTGGGCAACAGAACAAAAGCCTGTTTAAAAAAAAAAAAATTGCCCAAAGTCATTCAGAGAGTCAGTGACTAATTTCAGAATAAAATCTATTTCTATCCCATTCCCCAATTCCATGTTACTCAATTCTATATTCATAAATTTAGCTAATCTTTATTAAAACATTTCATCTCTATTGATAAATTTAGAAATCTTTAATATATTAAAAATCTATTAACAACTAATATAATAATTCAATTTATTAAATTTGCTTTGGAAATTACTAATATAAATATTATTATGGAGGTTTTGTCACCAAAATTTTTATAATAGAGTAAAGGTTTATATGTCAACAGTCACAATGTGATTTATTACATTAGAAAATTATAAATATGCTTCTTTAGTTCTATATATATTTTCTCTGAAAACATTTTAAATTAATTTAACTTAATTTTATAAAGAAATTATATATAAGCTGGGCCTGATAGCTCTCGCCTGTAATCTTAGCACTTTAGGAGGCTGAGGCAAGGGGATCACTTGAGGCCAGGAGTTCGAGACCAGCCTGGTCAACATGGCAAAACCCTGTCTCTACTAAAAATACAAAAATTATCGAGGCAAGGTGGTGCACACCTGTAATCCCAGCTGCTCGGGAGGCTGAGGCAGGAGAATTGCTTGAACCCAAGAGGCAGAGGTTGCAATGAGCTGAGATCATGCCACTGCACTCCAGCCTGGGTGACAAAGCGAGACTCTGTCTCAAAAAAAAAAGAAGTTGTATATAAAAGTGATTTACAGTAAAATAAACTCTTTTAACACATTGAGGAAACCCAAACTTTAGTCCCAGTACTGTAAACTAGCAGTACTAGCATTACTGTAATATGCTGCATGGCGTTTATGATGATGATGTCTGACAATGTATCCTTTCACAAACCTTATTTGTTACCGAGTAGGCTTCATTCCAGCTGCTCCCATTTCCTCAGTCTGGTTCATCACACCTATAGCAGCTAGAATTCTCCTCATGGATCACTTCCTTCCTGCCCATCCTTTGTTCATTATATTCACCATATCATATATGCCTGATCATCAAAGTACTCCACCAGGACTACTCACTGACACCACCCCCACTACACGGCATGATCTAATCAATGTTCAGGATCACACAGATTACTCTACCATAGTAATCCCACACATGGAAGAAATCCTAAGGTGATCTCTCCTCCCTCCCTCTCACTCTGAAAATTTTTGTCTTTCCTGTCTTTTAAAAGTTAACTCCCAGCTTACTGTCTTCATTAAGTTTCTACCATTTAATCCCATAATTTTTTAATTCCTTGCCACCTATGGTGCTTAATTTCTGCTATTTATCATTAATTGCTCTTGGCTGGGCACAGTGGCTCTTGCCTGTAATCCCAGCACTTTGGGAGGCTGAGGTGGGAAGATCACTTTAGCCCAGGAGTTTGAGACCAGTCTGGGCAACATGGCGAAACCCTGTCTCTACACAAAATACAAAAATTACCTGGACCTGGTGGCATGCACCTGTAGTCCCAGCTGCTTGGGAGGCTGAGTTGGGAAGATCGCTTGAGCCTGGGAGGCAGAGATTGCAGTGAATCGAGATCACACTATGGCACTCCAGCCTGGGCAA